GCTGTCCAAAGGAGGGGAGCCCCCACCAAGAAGACAGTACCACTGAGCTTCAAACACACACACACACACACACACACACACACAAACAAAGTGCAGCAGGACTAGCAGCTTCTCCCAGGTAAATCAAATTGGCTGGGCCAATTCCAAGGGTATAGAATTCATGGAAGCAAATCTTGTAGATACTTTGGCACCAAACCACGGAAAGCTTTATAGGCTTTACACCACTTTGGGTTTCATTCAGAAAACTACTGGCAAGCAGAGTGTGGTCCACAGCACCAGTGTAATATTCGCCTATCAACAAATGCCAATTCCATTAGAATACAGGCCCATTTGCACTCTGAACAAACTGCAGTTTCCGAGTCATCTTTAAAGGTGCAGTTCTATCCAGAGCACGCTAAAGTAGAATAGAGATTCTACTCTATTCTATTCTCCAATAACAGAGTTGGAAGGGACCTTTGGAGGTCTTCTAGTCCAACCCCCTGCTTAGGCAGGAAACCCTACACCACTTCCGACAAATGGTTATCCAATCTCTTCTTAAATTTTTTCGGTGTTGGAGCATTCACAACTTCTGGAAGCAAGTTGTCCCACTGATTAATGGTTCTAACTTGTCAGGAAATTTCTCCTTAGTTCTAGGTTGCTTCTCTCCTTGGTCAGTTTCCATCCATTGCTTCTTGTCCTGCCCTCAAGTGCTTTGGAGAATAGCTTGACTCCCTCTTCTTTGTGGCAAAGCCTAAACAGGAGGCCCAAGAGTGTGAGTCAGTGCAGCAAAGTCCTCCCACTGGCTATAGTTTCCCATCTGCTGCCCTAAAAGGAGCCAGGAGTTCAGAATGAAGTCACACATGAGCTCCTTCAGGAGTGCCGTCATCCCAGCAAGGAACATCACTGGAGCAGAGAACCACACAGGCAGACAAAGCAGCACCTACTGCAATTCGCCACTGAGCAAGGACTAAAATTACTGCCATACAGAGCCCTAATCACCAAAGGGGGCCCATAAGAATGCCATGTTCAAACATTGCTGTGTGTTCTTAAAAGGACCTTGATGGATCCACTCTCCTGATCTAGGTCCCAGCCAATGTCCTTCACTAGTGCCACCAGGGCCATCTCTCCTACATATCCAGGCTTCAGAAGGTTGGAGACCAGAAGATAGTTATCTAAACACTTGCCCCTCCACCAGAAGCTAGGAGAAATAGAGATACAGCCTGCAGGGAAAATCTTAAGAGAGCCTCCAGATCGCTTTCCCAAATCATAGCTCAAAAGAAATCCAGGTAACCAAGTAAGTCCATCATCCTGGATCCTACCCTGAAGACGTGAACAAATCTGGGCAACCCTGGCAGCAAAATGATCATAGCAACCTGATCATTGATCATAACAGCATGCAAGGAGGTTTGGGAAGATGCTGGTTCTTCCTTAGCAGAGAACTGGCTCTCCACACACAGAACAGCAATGATGCATCAACCCTCTTATCGGCACAGGGTATGCCCACCAAAGGTAGGCACATACTAAAGCATGGTCAGGTTCATGGTCTTTTCTTCTCCTTGGCACTGGAGCCATCTCTGCTCAGCTACACCACTCAGGAGCCTGAGTGGCGTAGGAGGCTAATGCCTCCTACTAAGGCAGCATTTAACATCCAGCTGCCTGCAATTACTGCGAGTTCAAATCTCACCAGGCTCAAGGTCGACTCAGCCTTCCATCCTTTCTAAGGTGGGTAAAATGAGGACCCGATTTGTGGGGGCAATAAGCTGACTTTGTATAAAAATATATAAAAAGTATGAAGGCTATTGCTTAACGCATTGTAAGCCGCCCTGAGTCTCCGGAGAAGGGCGGCATATAAAAATAAATAAATAAATAAATAAATAAATAAATAAATAAATAAATAAATAAATACATACATACATACATACATACATACATACATACATACATACATACCCCAAAGCCCCCACCAGCTACCCGGATCTTCCCCACTGCTATAAGAGAAGCTGGTTCTGTGGCCAGAGGCTGACAAGCAGCAGACCCAGGCCCCTTTACATTATTTGCCCCTGAGACAGGATGAACAGAATAGCAAAGGAAAATTGAAGAAAGGAGCCGGGAAATTAAGGTATACAAGAAAAAGCTGCCCCTTGTTGCTCAAAGGTCTTCTTCCTTGACTTTCCTCAAAAGGAAAAAAGCTGCCCTCATTCAAACGTTAGCAAGTCAACAATGTACTTGCTGCAAATCAGACAGTTGCTGCTTCCAGTGCAATAGCTGTAACTCTTTCGTAGCTCCCACCGGCTGAAAAATCCACAGTATTTAATTTCAGCCCAGAAGAACATCAGTCTGTATTTAAGATGCACAGAACCAGGGAAGAGGCGCTGACATCCAATACCATCTTTTAGCGAGATCGATGGCGCTGATTACATGACTGTCTTTTGTTTTCCTACAACTAACTCAAGGCCCTCATCAGGGGATTTCCCATTAAGATCTTCCCCAAGAGCGTTTACAGAGCCGTCTCCGACATTTCAGGAATGGTGCAAGATTTGTTCAGTTCTGCCCGCTGGGCTTTGCCTACGAAGAGCGGAAGCACCCTTCTTTCTAGACTTTTCACGGAACTGAGCTAGAGAGGGAGGTCTTGGGCAGAAGAGCCCCAGCTGGACCTCCAACCCAACAGGTGAACAGGGGAGCCTTGGAAGACAGGCCTGCCCAGGAGAGTTTAGATAATAAATTCAAATTCAAGGTTGACTCAGCCTTCCATCCTTCCGAGGTAGGTAAAATGAGGACCCAGATTGTGGGGGCAATAAGCTGATTTTGTATAAAAAAGAACACTGCTCAGGGGGGCCCGAAAGCCCTACTAAGCAGGTATATACAAAAGTATGAAGGCTATTGCTTAACGCATTGTAAGCTGCCCTGAGTCTCTGGAGAAGGGCGGCATATAAATTGAACCAATCAATCAATCAATAAATAAATAAATAAATAATCAATCCCCTTCCCATTTTGCAAGAGGGAGGGAGGGAGGCCCTGCCCTCCTTTTAACAAGGCCTTTGCTACAGGCAAAGGGGAGCTACTCAAGAAAGAAGCTGCCAGCGGAAGCCCTGGCAGGAGGGCAGTCCATAAGCAGGAGCCAGCCAAGTCTGGACCCCGCTCCGCCCAACTCAAATCTGGCCGTCCAACAAGAGCCTCCCCCTCCCGCGAGCCTTCGGGACCTGAAACCCAACCGCAGCGGGCTCTCCCCGTCTCCCCCCCCACCCCCCCCCTTTGTGATCTCGCCTAAGTCAGGCTAGGAACACAAAGCCCTCCCGCTCCGCCCGGGCTCTGCGCGGGACCCCCCGAAGGCGGGCGAGCGGGCGGGCGAGCAACTCCGGGCTCTTGGGTTACTGACCAGCCCTCCCCGGGGATTAGAGCCGGGGTTTTTTTTGGGGAGGGGGTGGCAATGGCTGGAATGCGCCCGCAGCCAATCAGCCGGCAGGAGAGGCCCGCAGGCGAAGCCGACCGAGGGGAAAACAAGGCGCAGGTTTCGGAATGTTTGGCAACATTGTCTCCCTTTCTCGGCTCGCGGCCAGCCGCCCTTTCCCGACGGCAAGGGGTTAAACGCGGCACCCTCAGTGGGAGCGAAGCCTTCCGTGGAATCAGCAGTTTGAGCTCTCGCGGAGGGAGCGCAGAAGCGCCGAAGGGGACGGAGCCCGAGAGCCGCTCCGCTTGCAGGCCAGGCAAAGGGGCAACAGCTGAGTGGTGGCTCAGCAGACTCATTGACACCCACTTACATCAGCCGTCTGCAATTTCTGCTGGTTCGAATCTCTCCAAGGCTCAAGGTTGACTCAGCCTTCCATCCTTTCTAAGGTAGGTAAAATGAGGACCCGGATTGTGGGGGCAATAAGCTGACTTTGTATATAAAAAAAAAGAACACCGCTTAGGGGGGAGCTGAAAGCCCTACTAAGCAGGTATATACAAAAGTATGAAGGCTATTGCTTAGCGCATTGTAAGCCGCCCTGGGTCTCTGGAGAAGGGCGGCATATAAATCAAATTAAAACAAACCAAACAGTTCGCAACAGCCCAAAGGGCAAAGGGGCAACAATGGGCGCTTCTCCGAGCAGAGGCTCCGGGCCCCTCTCGAGTCCGAGGGGCAGCCGCAGCTCATGGCCTCAAGTGGGAGAGACCAAACTTTTCCTCCAAGTTCTTCCCCCGTTAACAAAATCACCTTCCTAACAAGGGACCTGGCCACGTTCAGCTTAAGAGGGAAGGAGGAGGAGAACGGAGGAGCCCTTCCCCGCCAACGCCAGCGCCGATTTCGCCCATCCCGGCCAACAAAGTATCGCCTATCTCGCGTCAAAGCGCTGCAAAAGCCCCCGAACCGTAATATACAAAGCCGAGCCAAGCCCTTCGAAAGCGAGGGCTGCGGGGCATTTCCCACCCGGCCCCGACCATTCCGCCCCCCAAGCCCCAGGAGGGGGAACCGCACCTCGGAACTGCCGGTGCTCAGAAACGGGCAAACTTAATCCGAAGCCAGGACGGTCACGTAAAGCCTTCGCTTTCCCCCCAAGGGCCGGCTGGAAAAGGGGACAAAGCGCAGCTTCCCCGAAGGGGCCCCGGGAGCACCATTCGCACTGCGGGCACCGAGGGGCGCACCGCGGGCACGAGCGCCGCTCTCCTCCCGGGAAGGCAGCTCCGGGGAACCCGGAGGCGCTTCACCCTCCCAAGGGCTTTGCCGGCCCTTCTGCCCAGGAGGAGGCCGAGGGACACGGACACACACCCGGCGAGGGGGGCGCTTTCAGGCACCAAGGCCGCCGCCCCCGACCCTCCCCGCCCGGGAACCTCAGCCGGCCGTCTCCGGGGCGCTCCCTCGCAGCCGCCTTTCCCCCCGAGGGTCGGCGGGGAAAGGCGGCCTGGGCACGGGGGCTATTTCGGGCGGCGCTCTCTTCCCCCGGGCAGCTGCGGGGCGGCGGCTGGACTGGCCCCGAAGGCGCCTCGGCTCCCCCCGCCCGCCCGCCCGCCCGCCGCCCCTTTGTCCGCGCCGTCGGGGCACCTACTTGGCGTTGGCGGCGCTCCAGGAGACCGGCTCCAGGCTCTTGGCCAGCAGCGGCGGCGCCAGGCGTCCCAGCGCCAGCAGCAGCGCCAGCAGCCCCCGGCACAGGCGCTCGGGGCGTCCCGCGGTCCGGCCCATCCTCGGCCGCCACCGCCACCGCCACCGCCGCGGCTGCTCCGGCGGCGGCGGCGCCTACTCGGGCGAAGCGACCCTCCTCCGGGAGGCGCCTCACGGGCCTGCCATGGTGGCGGCGGGGCGGCGGCGCAGCACCCCCGCGCTCTCCCGCCTCGTCCCCGCGCGCCTCCCGCCGTCGAGCGCCCGCGCCGGCTCCTCCGCTCGCACTGGGCGCGCCGGGCGACGCCGCGCGCTCTACTCTCCGGCGCAGGCGATCGCCGAGGACAGCCCGCCCGGCGCCCAATCGCAGAGCGGCGCGCGGGGTCCTCGCCCGCCGCCGGACGGGGCGTGGCCATCCCCGCCCGGACCCGCCCCGACTGGGAGGGGCGCGCCGGGCTCGGCGGGGCGGGGCCGCAAGCCGCCGGATGCCGCGCAAGGGAGGGGGGCGGTCCTTCCTTCCTCCCTTCGCGGGCGCGAGGGGCGGGCTCCCCCTGCAGGCGCCGCGCGGGAACGCAGGCTGGTGGGCGGGGCCGCAGAGCGGCGGTTCCCGAGAGGCCCCGCCCTGCTCCTCCGCCGCCGCCGCTTTTGGGGGTCCGCGGGGTCCCCGGAGCGGCAACCCGCCATCAGACGAGCACGAGAGGCTTCCCTGCCCGAATTCCAGCCGCCGGAGAGCTCGGCTGCCCGGGCAACTCGTGGGCTTGGGGAGGGATCGGAGCCGAACCGATGACCTCGGGGGGACCCTAGCAAAAGAGCGCTGGCGGAGTCGGAGGCCGGGTTGGGCTAGTGGGAAGGCGCCGGGCTGTGGAAAGCAGGAGGTGGCGAGTTCGAGTCCTGCCCAAGGCGGGGCCAGACTGGCTGACCTCGCAGGGTGGCGGTTCTTCTGGGGAAAAGCAGCAGAGAAAGGAGTCAGTTTTGGGTTGTTTCTAAGAATAAATTTTGAAAAAATAAATCTGAATCTTGAGCCCATTTTGTATTCAAGCAGAGGGAAGGCCACATAAGTTAATGGCGAAGCCTGTGAAATAGAAGTTCTGTCCCTGGGAAAATAAGAGAACATGAAAGTTTGCAAAAGATCCCGATAAAAGTTGCCTGATATTGTGGAATGCAAGGAATGAATGCGCGTAGGGAAGGGAGAATATCATTTAATAATAGGTGAAAAGTTGGAAATATATTTTGTTATAAACTATGTGCGTGTAGTAATCCTTAGGCTGGTATTAGATGCATGTTACTTTCCAGCAAATGGTGAAAGTCGGAAGAATACCAGAATGGTGACTGATGAATATGTATAAAAAAAATAACATTTCAACTATGTGGTTCAAACATAAATGTAGTCATAGTGAGGTGAAATCATAGTAGTGAAGGAGCAAGTATACATCTAAAAGAGAAGTCAGCGATGGGACTGATTGTGATGAAGGGCCGGGAGAATTAGTGAAGGATTATTACCACCGTCATTCCACAAGTTGGAACACATTTGGAGAAAGTCCGTGACAGACAGCGAGGGATCCTAAGGCTTCCCAGAATTCCCCCTTGGCTTATTTCCCAACAATTTACCAAGACACTTCAGCTGATTACAGGTGTCAACAGCAGTGGTGAAATCCAATTTTTTTTACTACAGGTTCTGTGGGCGTAGCTTGGTGGGCGTGGTGTGGCTTGGTGGGCGTGGCAGGGAAAGGATACTGCAAAATCTCCATTCCCATCCCATTCTGAGGCCAGCCAGAGGTGGTATTAGCCAGTTCTCTGAACTACTCAAAATTTCCACTACCGGTTCTCTGAACTACTCAAAATTTCTGCTACCGGTTCTCCAGAATCTGTCAGAACCTGCTGGATTTCACCCCTGGTCGACAAGCAGCTAAACAAGATTACCATAGACCAGGGGTCTCCAAACTTGGCAACTTTAAGATTTGTGGACTTCAACTCCCAGAGTTCCTCAGGCTGGGAGTTGAAGTCCACAAGTCTTAAAGTTGCCAAGTTTGGAGACCCCTGCCATAGACTCACAGAGGTGGCTCTTGGTCTTCGGAGAAGCTCTTGGAGATGAAGTGCTGGAAGAGAAATTGTAGAGCTCACAAGTGGACATTAGCACCAGTTCGACTAGGAAGTGATCCAGGTCCATAGTCATTTCACGAAGTAATTACTCAAGACTTTAACTATCTGAACAGCTGCATGTGCTGCACAAGAAATTACTTGTGGATACTTGAGCAACCTATGGTTGCCATGGAAGTCACACCAAACCCAATGGATCGTGGTTGAATTCCTTCAACACAAAAACCATCTCAAAGACCAAGCCAAGCAGCCTGAAGAAGGGACAACCTGAATAATAGTATAGTATCTTTTTCCTCAGCTAATCACACGTGGAAAGGATGTGTTTGGTCACATGTTTTCTTAAGTCCTCTCCAGCCTTGAGCTCACGGCCATTGGAGAACACAACTCAACTGGAGAACTGTCTTAAGATCTTAGTCAGGTTTAGAAATGAGCTTGGATGAAACTGTAGATGCCGAAAGGAGTATTTTACTCTGGGAGTTGAAGTCCACAAGTCTTAAAGCTGCCAAGTTTGAAGACCTCTGGTATAGATAGTAGTAATCCAAGAAAAAGTATGAAAATAATCTGTCATAAGAACCTTGAAAAAACATTAAGGCTGCCGGTATACATGGTGCAACTGGAAAAATGTTAAAATATGAGTGGTTTGCTTATCAAGCGGCTGTGAGATTTGTTTAACATTTGTGTTAAGACTCATAGCTGTCTGAGGATCAGGAAGAATGACATTTTTGCCCTCTACAAAGGGAAACGTTGCAGCCATGAATTCAAAATCTACAGGAAGCTCTTTATTAAGGTTGTGTGCCTGCTTAATAATGATAAAAAATATACAATACAAGACAGTGGAATGGGAAAAAAAACAAGGCAGCAATACTATTAGACAGGTGTGTAGACCAAATTTCCACTGTTAAGCAATCTGAATGTGGAAAAAAAAATTATTGGGGATTTATTGATGTAGTGTCCTAGGGGCAAAGACACCCGCCTCCCACTAAAAAGGTTGAGAATTTGATCCTAGGCTGTGACAGATGTTTCTCTATCAAGGCGCAAAGAGAAGATATCTGCTGGGAACTCTGTGTAGGCATCAGGAAGGGCATCCGGCCAGTAAATGCTCGGCTCCATTCAGTCACCCCAACTCTACACGGATAAAAAGGATTAGAAGGTCTTAAAAAGAAAAAATGATGTAGAGAAAGCATCAAGTGAATAGCTGATGGAATGTTGAATGATTGTGGAATAAAAAGTTGGTTGCCAAATTCAATAACAGCGTTTTACAATAGAAGTAAAGTTTGTGTGGAATGAAGTACAGGTGGTCCTCATTTATTGACTGCCTCGTGCAGCCATTGTTCAAAGTTAAAATGGTAGCAAAAAGTAACTTTGCAACCAATCCTCACGTTTACAACTTTGCAGCATCCTGCAGTCACATGAGCATTATTGTGCTTCGCAACTGATGTGCATTTACCACCAATGCAGCATCCTTCAGTCACCTGATCTCCACTTGCATGCTTTTTGCTTGCAAGAAGACAAGTTAATTCTGTATAATTCTGTATTAAAGGCAGCAGAAAAATTTAGTAACTGCATTTCTTTGCTTAACATTTGAGAGGCCGCCACAAAGAAGAAGAGGTCAAATTATTTTCCAAAGCACCAAAAGGCAAGACAAAAAACAATAGATGAAAACTAATCTAGGAGAAAAGTTACCTGGAATTAAGGAGAAACTTCTAAACATAACAATTAACCAATGGAACGGCTGGCCTTCAGAAATCGTGGGCACTTGATCACTGGAGTTTTTTAAGAAGAGACTGGACAATCATTTATCTGAAATGATATAGGGTTTCCTGCTTGAGCAGGGGGTTGGACTAGAAGACCTCCAGGGTCCCTTCCAGCTCTATTCTAATTGATTGAACAACTGAAAGGAAAATAGGGCTGTAAATCCAGTTTTCCAATCGTGATTTTCTGCTTATCGACTGAGTTGCTGGTCCCAATTGTGATTGCTAAGCAGGAACTAGCTGTAGAATGATAGATTCTGTGCCATCGTTATTTTTGACTCCTAGTGACCATGTAGATAGGTTTTCTCCATGACAATCTGTTCCTACCTGATCGGTGTCAGGTGCCCCCATCCCCACTAACTGAGTTCCTCCACCTTGCTGCTGGTTTCCTTCTTCTTCTGTTTCCTTCCAGCTTTTCCAGAAGTACATCCTTCTCCAGAGAGCTGGATCTTTACATCATGTATCCAAAATAGGAGAGAAAGTATTCAATAGCCCAGAAGTAAATTCTGGACTCCAACAAAGAATTTACTGAATAACAGAGTTGGAAGGGACCTTGGTCCAGTCCAAGCTCCCTTTTCAAGCAGGAGATCCTGTGCCATTTCAGACAAGGGGCTGTCCAGTCTCTTCTTAAAAACCCCCAGCGATGAAGCACCCACAACTTCTGGTGGCAAGCTGTTCCACTGGTTAATTGTCCTCACTGTTAAGAAGTTTCTCCTTAATTCCAGGTTGCTTCTCTCCTTGATGAGTTCTCATCCATTGCTTCTTGCTCTGCCTTCAGGTGCTTTGGGGAAGAGGTTGACTCCCTCTTCTTTGCAGCAGTCCCTCAAATATTGGAAGACTGCTATCATATCACCCCTAGTCCTCTTTTCACTCATCAAGAGGTGAAGTTGGGATGGCTATAACTGGAAGAGCAGATCTCATGTGAGTTGCTATCTTCATTTTCTTAATTAGCTCATAGCAACTTTCATGAGAAAAAAGTTGCTTTATGTGAGATTTCATTAACTGCAACCAGCTTATAGACTTGCAATTAAAGTTGCTTATTAGATTTTCCATGATGCTGTCCCTAGGCTCTTCCAACAGTGTCTCCACCTTGCTCTGATCGACTTCTTCCTTCCATCTTTCCCAGCATCAGAGCCTTTTCCCAGACAGCTGGGTTTTCACGTGTCCAAAGTAGAATAATTTGAGCTTGGTCATTTGTGCCTCGAGTGAGAATCTGGGTTGATTTTTTTCAATGACCCATCAGTTTTTTTCCTTGGCTGTCCATCGTATTCTTGGAGTCTTCTCCTACATTCAAAGACCTCAATACGCTTCCTATCCTGCTTTTTAAAATTCAACTTCTACTTCTGTAGAGCGTCACAGGCTTACCCAATCCTGAACTTAAGTATAGACACATCACAGCATT